ATTGTGCAAAGTTCTTTTAAAAACTTTGCAAACCTAGGAACACCTTTTATTAAATTGAGAAGAGGGATATTTACCTCACATTTGCTGAAGGTCTCATAGATATCTTTGTCATTGTTGTATTTCCGGTTATCCTTGAGAGCCTCCGAAAAGGGGGCACCGGCTCATATGAGTTGAGCGGTGGGAATTTTCTTTGAGGTGTGATCTCCTCCTCCTCTTCTCCCACATGGCTCTTTGCTTTTGCCTTAGCCATAACTAATTCTTTGCCACTTCTCAAAGTGACCGCATGAGCTTGTTGCCTCGGGTTCGGCTCTGTTTGAGATGGGAGTTTTGCCGAATCCCTAGCTTCTAGCCTACTCACGGCGTTTGAGATTTGGCTCATTTGGCTTTCCAAATTGTGGATGCTAGACTTTGTGGTTTCTTGAAATTGGGCCACACTTTGTTGCATTGTAGTCATATTCATGGCTAATGCTCGAATCATGTCTTCGGTGGACATGCTTGAGTTCGATGTTTGGCCTTATTGTTTATATTGTTGAGGAGGGGGGGGGGGTTGATTGTTGAGGGGGTTGAGGGTTTCCGTACCTTAGATTTGGATGATCCCTCCATCCTGGATTGTAGGTGTTTCCGTGAGGATCGTACCTCCTTTGGCCTTGGAACCCCAAAGCATTGACTTGCTCAGAGTTCTCCTCTTGTAAAGTTGGGCAAGAATCTGTGGGATGCCCTTGTGTTGAACAGATGCCGCAGACCTTGACTTCTTGAGTTTTTGGATTCAAAAGGAAATCTTTAAACAAAGAAGTCAAGCCGGCTACTTGACTCTCCAACGAGTTGTTGGATTCCGCTGCCATAACTCTCTTTGTTGACCGCCGATCATAGTGTCTACAATTTTCGGCCAACTCCGAGATAAGATTCCTAGCTTGAGAAGGAGTTTTGTTGACTATTCCTCCTCCACATGCAGCATTGATCATCCGTCTATCATCATCGCAAATACCATCATAAAAGTAAAGGATGAGGTCTTGCTCCGAGTAGCCGTGATACGGACAGCTCGCACAGAGTTTCTTGAATCGTTCCCAGAATTCATAGAACGATTCATCATCTTTTTGCTCCACATTGCTGATTTGTTTCTTTAGAGATGAGGAGATGGAGGCGGGATAATACCTTTCGAGGAAGCTCTTCTTCATGGCCGCCCAAGTGTCTATGCTTCCCGAGGGAAGATAGAAGAGACAATCTTTGGCGGTGTCTTTGAGGGAGAATGGCAAAGCCCTCAACTTAATTTGCTCCTCGGTAACACCGTTCGGGCACATGTTTGTGCAAACGATGTGGAACTCCGAAAGATGTTTATTTGGATCCTCTCCTCTTAGCCCGTGGAAAGATGGAAGTAGATGTATGAGTCCAGATTTCAACTTAAATGTAGCACCCGCATCAAGAGTTGGGAAGGTGATACATAAGGGTTTTTGATTTAGATTGGGGGCTGTGAGCTCCCTCAGCGTTCTTGTTTCAAGAGCCATTGATATTGACTCCTCGGACTCGCTAGATTGAGAACTAGCACTTGAGGATTCCCCCGAGTCGGTATTTGAGAATTTATTCTTTAACCGCTCGAGAGCTTTTTCTATTTCGGGGTTTGTTTGGTAGGTGAGTTGGTTTATGGATCGGGTTTTTACCATATACTCAAACAAAACTCAGCAAAAATAGAAAACTTTATATATTATTTTTTTTTTTTTTTTTGAAATAAAATAAAAAGAAAAATTAATTGCCTTTCCCCGGCAACGGCGCCAAATTTGACGAGCACTTTTGTCAAGGTGCGTCAAAATAAATTCAATACTAAACACTTATACGTAGTATAGCGTAGTAGAGTTCGTATCCACAGGGAAAGGTATAATTCTCTTTCTATGAATTTTAGTAAATAAAAGGGGGGATTTGGGTTGAGTGATTTAATTTAATTAAAAACTAAGATGAACAACCTATATGTGTTTATTTCAAGAATAAAAGGGACTTGGCTTTGCTACTTTTCACTTGTTGATATATTTCAGTCGATCCTTGTTATATCTATAACTTATCCCCTCTCGAATACTCAATCGAGGACTATCTCCAATTCATCGAGGGTAGTTATTAACAACGACCGTTCATTAATAACCCTTACTATTAATCAAATATAGAACAACGCCGTATACCGATATAATAGTAGCATTCAATCTTTTTAACTCTTGATGAAATCAATTGAGATTGATAACTTTAACACAACGGTTTCGGTTTAACCAACAAAATTGATCCCTCTTAAGTTTATTAACCACGACCGTGCATTAATAAACCGAAGTTACTTACTTATGAAACCACCAACGATTAACCATCGGTTCGTTGATCGTTTCTAGTAGTAATTAATGTCGGAACGTTAACTAATCGTCACTTAGCAACCCTCCAACATTAATATAGAATGAGATTAAGGGAAGAATTAATAATCAAGAGAAGAAGTTAAGAAAATAACTCACAACTTTAATAATCAACAAGCTTCAAGAGCAAAACCAAGAATGGAAGTTTAGCTCCTCATTTGGAGGCTAAACATAGCTAGAAAAATATAAAGAAATGCTATTCTAAACTGAGCTAAAGAGAATGGAAGAAGGGATGATTTTTAGAGGAGAAAAAAAGTGCTATTTATAGGTGTTTTTCAACACCTTTGGCCGGGTACCCGACCGGGTATAGGTACATACCCGACCGGGTACCGGTCAAAATCAGATAATCTCCCACGTTTCATTGTTCCAGCACGTTAATTTGTCCCGGGTCAAGTCAGACCCGACCGGGTCAAGTGAGGGACCCGACCGGGTTTGGTCTAAATCATATTTTTTTCCAAATCTTTGTGATCTTCAGCATGTTCTGGTGTTCCGGGTCATATCTGACCTGACCGGGTCGGGTATGGGACCTGACCGGGTCGGGTATGGGACCCGACCGGGTCTTACTTTTTCTTCTTAGATCTGTTCCACAACTGACCCGACCGGGTTCAAGGTCTGACCCGGTCGGGTTTTTGTGCTCCTGGGTCTTTTTGTCTTCAATTTTTCTCCCTTTTTCCTTGCTACAAACTCTATCACTAGTCTATAACTCCGAAAAGAAGGAGAGAACAATTACAAACAAAATAAAACAAGTACTTACAAACTAACTAGAAGTGATGGAAAATCCACACTCAATCAACATAAAAACATACGTTTATGCACTATAAACTAGTGCATATCAAACACCCCCACACTTGAATTTTTACTAGTCTCGAGTAAAACAAATTCTGTCCAAGGGGTCCTTAATTGACAAGAGTAGCAACACCAACATCCACAAGTTTTTATAACAAATACATAAAGCATCTCCAAAACCAAAAGAGTAAAGATGGGTCTTCAATTTCAATCCGAACTCTCTATAGTAATCGCCCTCAGGATCCTGCAAAATCAAAAGAAATAACTTTCTCTCATTCTCTCATTTTGCCTAGGTGCTCTTTCAGGTTTTCAACCCAGCTTCCCACATTTTGTATTTTTTTTTCTTTTCAAATCTCAGAAACTCACGACTATTTTTGCTTTATTTTTGCTTAAGCTGCCCTTTGTGGGTTTTCAACTCAACAAGCTTTCGTTTATTTTATATTTTTTTTTTATTTTTTTATATTTTTTTTCTTTTTTAGAGATAACAAGAATAAAGAGTGTGAATGTGAACATACCGGGAAGATCTCCCCCACCACTAGTCCGTGGCACAGTCCCTAGTGCCCGCCCGCATCTCCGCCATCGAAAAATCCTCCATAGCCCCTATACTGTGTATCCTCGTCCATATGATCCCCGCTGTATCCGTCTTCCCCGCCTCCACCACTAGAGGTTGAGCCACCAAAATAACCCCATTCAGTGGGGTTGTACTATGAAGGTGCCGGAGGAGGAGTGGTCATGGAGGTGAAGTTTCCCTGATGCGCGATATAGGAGTAGATAGGCCCAAAAGTCCTCCTTTGATCCTCTTCATATCGGCGCCAATCTTCTCGCCTTTGTTCTTCAATCCTCTCGAAGCTGTGCCTTTGCTCATTTCTGTACAGCCCGACTTCCTCCCGAAGTTGGGTGTAATTGAGGTTAAGAGCATTCATGATGTTTAGCATTTCTTGCTCAAATGGAGAGTATTGATGAACATGGGGTTGTGGGTGAGGTTGTTCAGGAATGATGGGTGGTGCTTCAAGTGCAGGCTGTTCATTGGCGGCTTCATTGTCCCCCGCCTCATTTTCTGGGGGTGCAAAGTGTGGTGGAATTCCCCCGGGCATACAATAGTGGTGTCCATCACCGATTTGGTGATCGATGATGTTAAGCGGGAGGTTTTCGGAAGGGAAGGGGTAGTATAGTTCTTGGCCTGGTTTGATGTGCCAATTGTAGATTTCTAGGCCATCATGTTCGATGTGTGAGAGGGTCACATCGCCAGCATTCTTTAAAAATTGAAGGCCAAGAAGGGTCCTGTGGTTTTGTGCACCATTGCATACAAAACCATATCGTGTGGCAATGTGGGTGATTAGACCCCCTATCAGAATTTTTCCTCCACCACTTTTAACATTGATGATGTGATCCCAAAGAACTGTGGTCACATCATATGGCCCGGCATCCGGAAGAACAGCTTGTGCTAAGAGGCATACATCCCACACCCTAGTTTGATGGTTGTTTGGTCTTCCGAAAAAGCAATTAGCCAAGAATTTCAAGAAAATTCGGAAGACCGGGTGTTGGACATGGTTGACATTGAGGTGGGAGGTACGAACCTTGACAATTTTGGTCATTCTTCTCCATAGTTCATAGGCCACCGGTGAACTATACGCTACCGTGTCATCAAGCAAAGGTAGACCGAAGTGTTCAGCGAATTCTCATTTGGTGAGTGAGCGGTTCTCGTTGAGCAAACGAAAGTTGATCGTGTTATTTGTGTGATCATTCTCATCCTTCACATGCTCAACAGAACTGTAAAATTCATACACCAAACGAGAATACGGCCAATAGTGCATATCAAATATTTTAAGCATGCCACACCTTAAGAAAATATCTCTCATAATGTCATGAATCCAGAACATCGTTAATGTCAATTGGCATACAAAGCGGGAGGGTTTTACCTCTCGTTCGGATTGCTCAAGGAAGCGGATGCGTTGTGATTCGGTCTCAAACTCCACTGATTCGAAGCCTTCGACTGGTGGAATAGCTCTTGGAGCTCTTGAAGAAGAAGCTCTTCCCTTTTTTGGTGCCATGGAATTGTTTTCCTCCTTTTTTTTTGAAGGGTTTTTGATTTTTTTTGGGGGGGAAGTGAGGTTTGGTGAGAGTGAGTGGTATGGTTTTGTAGAGGATGATGAGGAGAAGAGGTTTTTGGTGTTTGTTGGGGAATTTGGCTTGAAATTGGACCTTGAATGTCCGAAAATGGAGAGGTTCGAAATTTGGGGTAGGGTTTATGAGTTTGGTTGATTTGGGGGATTTTGGAGGGATTAATTGGTGTAGGGTGGAAGAGGGAGGTGAGGAGATGAAGAATATGATGTTTTTTGGTGAATTTAGTGTAGGAATGGGGGAGATTTGGGAGTTTTGGTGGATGAAAATGGAGGTTTGTGGAGGGTTTGTTCGAAATTTGGGGAGAGGAAATGGGGAAGAAGGTGAAGGCCCGACCTGGTATAAGCTGAAAAGTCGTTGACCCGGTCGGGTCCCCTTATTTACCCGATCGGGTCAGCGTTCCAGAGGCTGTCAGAATGTTTTTTGGCTGGATACCCGGTCGGGTCTCCTTATTTGACCTGGTCGGGTCAGCTGCGTTCTTAACCAGTGAGGTCTGGTGGTTGATACCCGATCGGGTGAAATAAGGTACCCGGTCGGGTTTTCCTCCTTTTTTCAATTTTCTCGCTCCCCCACCCGGGTAGCCATTCGGGTATCTCCGTCTGTATGCAATACCCGACCGGGTGAACTCATATACCCGGTCAGGTTTATCCTCTCTTTTTTTTAATTTTTCATTTCCCCACGCGGGTAGCCGTGCGGGTATCCCTGTATTCCTGTAATACCCGACCGGGTATACTCCAAATTCTTTTTTTTTTGAAATGATTTTACACACACACTCTACTAAAATAAAAAGAAGAAAAATATACCGTGCATGGGTTGCCTCCCAAGAAGCGCTTTATTTAACGTCGTGGCTCGACGATATCTTCTGTTGTTCCTCATTCGTAGCCCGGTTCAGAAAGGTCTACGACTTCCACATTTTTGGGTTGAAAACCCTCAAAGAAGGGTTTTAATCTCTGTCCGTTCACTTTCAGCACCTCTCCCGTCTCCATGTCCTGAATTTCCACCGCCCCGTGTGGATATGTTTTGACCACTTTGTATGGTCCGGTCCAACAGGATCTCAGCTTTCCCGGAAATAGACGAAGGCATGATTGGAATAGGAGGACTTTTTCATCAAGTTTAAAGTCTTTTCGTATGATCATTTTATCATGCCACTCCTTCGTCTTTCTTTTGTATATTTCTGCATTGTCATAAGAATCCAGGCGAAGCTCTTCCAATTCTTGTAATTGGAGCTTCCTATGTACACCGGCCTCGTCAAGATTGAGGTTGAATTCTTTAACCGCCCAATAGGACTTGTGTTCGAGCTCTACAGGGAGATGACATGCTTTCCCAAACACAAGTCTATAAGGAGACATACCGATTGGGGTTTTGTAAGCAGTTCGGTATGCCCATAGCGCATCATCAATGTGTATACTCCAATCCTTCCTGTTCGGGTTCACTGTTTTCTGGAGTATAGATTTCAACTCCCTGTTTGAGGTTTCCGCTTGGCCATTGGTTTGAGGGTGGTAGACTGTAGAAATTTTGTGAGTCACACCATATTTTTTCAGTAGGGATCCCACAATTTTATTGCAAAAATGTGTGCCTCGATCGCTAATTAAAATTCGAGGGACCCCGAACCTTGAAAATATGTGTGATTTGAGAAAACTAGCCACCACCTTGGCATCATCAGTTTTTGTTGCTTTGGCCTCCACCCATTTGGATGTATATGTTACCTTGGGAGTATGGGAATGGTCCCATGAAGTCGATACCCCATGCATCGAAAATCTCACAGAAAAGCATGGGGTTTTGTGGCATCTCGTTCCTCCTGGAAATGTTGCCCGCTCTTTGGCAATTGTCACAAGATCGACAAAAGCCGTGTGCATCCCGAAATAGACTCGGCCACCAAAAACCGCTTTCAAGTATCTTCATTGTTGTTCGTTTCGGGCCGAAATGTCCTCCACGAGCATAAGAGTGACAAAACTCTATGATGTGGGCTATCTCATATTCAGGGATGCATCTTCGGATTATTTGATCCTTACAATGCTTCCACAAATACGGGTCATCCCACACATAGAGTCTTGAATCCATTCTTAATTTTTCTTTTTGAGATTTTGAGAGTTGTGGAGGAAATTTGCCGGAAACGAGAAAGTTCACGATATTTGCGTACCATGGTTGTGTGACTTTGATGGAGAAGAGAGTTTCGTCCGGGAATTCTCCTTTGATGAGATTTGTGTGGAGGTCTTCGATGTCTTTGTAAGGAATGAGGCGGCTTAAATGATCAGCCACCAAATTCTCCGCTCATTTCTTGTCTTTGATTTCCACATCAAACTCACTCAATAGAAGGACCCATCGAATGAGTCTTGGTTTGGCTTCTTTCTTTCTCATAAGGAATCGAAGAGCGGCATGGTCGGTGTAGACAATAACTTTCGATCCAAGAAGGTAGGAACGAAACTTTTCCAAAGCAAAAAACCACCGCTAGCATTTCCTTCTCGGTGGTGGAGTAGTTCTTTTGGGCTTCGTTGAAGGTTGATGAGGCGTAGTAGATGACATGCGAGGCTCTTCCAACTTTCTGGCCCAAAACAACCCCCACCGCATAGTCACTTGCGTCGCACATGATCTCAAAAGGAAGAGACCGGTCGGGAGCCTGTATGATCGGGGCAGTCACCAATCTTGCTTTCAAAGTGTCAAAAGCCTCTTTGCATTCATCGTTTAGATTAAATTCTACCTCCTTTTGTAAAAGTTTGCAAAGGGGAGATGAGATTTTTGAGAAATCCTTGATGAATCTCCTATAGAAACCGGCGTGACCGAGGAAAGAGCGGATGTCACGTACATTTGTGGGGTACGGGAGCGTTTGAATCACATCGATCTTTGCTTTGTCCACTTCGATCCCCTTTGATGAGATCACATGCCCAAGAACAATCCCTTGTTCTACCATGAAGTGGCATTTTTCAGAGTTCAGCACAAGGTTGGATTCAATGCAACTCTTTAGCACAAGAGTGAGGTGATAGAGGCAAGAGTCAAAAGAGTCCCCATGGATTGTGAAATCATCCATAAAGACCTCCATGAATACCTCCACAAATTCTGAAAAGATGCTCATCATGCACCTTTGAAAGGTGCCCGGTGCGTTGCATAATCCAAAGGGCATTCGTGGGTAGGCAAAAGTGCCAAATGGACATGTGAAGGTTGTTTTCTCTTGGTCCTCCGGGGCTATTGGTATTTGGAAATACCCGGAGTAACCATCGAGAAAACAATAGAACTTGTGCCCTGCTAACCTCTCTAGCATTTGATCAATAAAAGGCAATGGAAAGAAGTCTTTCCTAGTCACCGAATAGAGTCTTCGGTAGTCAATGCAAACTCGCCACCCGTTTTGAATTCGGGTGGGCACCATCTCGCCATCCTTGTTTTCAATGACCGTTACTCCGGTCTTCTTTGGCACCACTTGAGTAGGACTCACCCACTTTCTATCGGAAATGGGAAAGATGATTCCCATTAGAAGCAATTTGATTACCTCCTTTTTCACCACCTCCATCATGGGTGGGTTCAATCTTCGTTGCGGTTGTCTCACCGCTTTGGCCTCGTCTTCGAGCAAGATCCTGTGCATGCATGTGGATGGACTAATGCCTTTGATGTCGGCATTAGACCATCCAATGGCCAATTTATATTCCTTCAAGACCGCGATCAATCTTTCTTCTTGTTCTTGGGACAGGGCATTTGAAATAATCACCGGTAGGGTGTGATTTTCACCCAAGAACACATGCTTCATATTTTCAGGGAGTGGTTTTAATTCCACCTCCGGTGCCTGCAAAACAGATGGTAGCGGCTTCTCGCTTGGAATGGTTAGTGGGAGGGCTTTAGAGCCCGGTGGCAAAAGTGGGAGTTGATTTAACTCCGCCACCATAATCTTCATGTTATTCGACATAGAGTATTCCAATGTAAAATCCTCTATGTCGTTTTCTATTGCGCTTAGTGCTTCATCCTTGCCCTCAATTTCAAATACATCATGGACCTAAGTGTCGCAAGTGTCAATCACAAATAGAGAGTGATTATCAGTGGGGTATTTCATGGAGTCGTAGATATTAAATTCGACTTTTTCACCATCGAACTCCATGGTTAACACTCCACTAAAAACGTCAATTTTTGCCTTAGCCGTTTTCAAAAAGGGTCGGCCTAGTAAAATTGGGACTGCATTTTTATCGTTCTCCATTTCAAGAATGTAAAAATCAGCGGGAAAGATTAAATTATCCACCATGACGAGAACATCCACTACCACACCTTTTGGGTAGCCATTGGATCTATCGGCAAGTTGGATAACGACCCCCGTCTCATGTAAAGGTCCTAGTTCTAGGTACTTATATAGAGAATATGGGATGACATTGATTGATGCACCCAAATCTAACATAGCCCTAGAAGAACTAGAATTTCCAAGTTTACATGGTATAGTGAACATTCCCGGATCACTATACTTTTTAGGCAGTTTCTTTTGAAAAACGGCCGACACTCTTTCACTTACTTGGATTTTATGCTTGCCATTCAACTTGTGTTTCCTTTTAATTGTGCAAAGTTCTTTTAAAAACTTTGCAAACCTAGGAACACCTTTTATTAAATTGAGAAGAGGGATATTTACCTCACATTTGCTGAAGGTCTCATAGATGTCTTTGTCATTGTTGTATTTCCGCTTATCCTTGAGAGCCTCCGGAAAAGGTGGCACCGGCTCATATGAGTTGAGCGGTGGGAATTTTCTTTGAGGTGTAATCTCCTCCTCTTTTTCCTCTTCATTTTGAGGGTTTGTGCTTGGCATCAAGATCTCCTCCTCCTCTTCTCCCACATGGCTCTTTGCTTTTGCCTTAGCCATAACTAATTCTTTGCCACTTCTCAAAGTGACCGCATGAGCTTGTTGCCTCGGGTTCGGCTCCGTTTGAGATGGGAGTTTTGCCGAATCCCTAGCTTCTAGCCTACTCACGGCGTTTGAGATTTGGCTCATTTGGCTTTCCAAATTGTGGATGCTAGACTTTGTGGTTTCTTGAAATTGGGCCACACTTTGTTGCATCGTAGTCATATTCATTGCAAATGCTCGAATCATGTCTTCGGTGGACATGCTTGAGTTCGATGTTTGGCCTTTTTGTTTATATTGTTGAGGAGGGGGGTTTTGATTGTTGAGGGGGTTGAGGGTTTCTGTACCTTAGATTTGGATGGTCCCTCCATCCTGGATTGTAGGTGTTTCCGTGAGGATCGTACCTCCTTTGGCCTTGGAACCCCAAAGCATTGACTTGCTCGGAGTTCTCCTCTTGTAAAGTTGGGCAAGAATCTGTGGGATGCCCTTGTGTTGAACAGATGCCGCAGACCTTGACTTCTTGAGTTTTTGGATTCAAAAGGAAATCTTTAACCAAAGAAGTCAAGCCGGCTACTTGACTCTCCAACGAGTTGTTGGATTCCGCTGCCATAACTCTCTTTGTTGACCGCCGATCATAGTGTCTACAATTTTCGGCCAACTCCGAGATAAGATTCCTAGCTTGAGAAGGAGTTTTGTTGACTATTCCTCCTCCACATGCAACATTGATCATCCATCTATCATCATCGCAAAGACCATCATAAAAGTAAATGATGAGGTCTTGCTCCAAGTAGCCGTGATACGGACAGCTCGCACAGAGTTTCTTGAATCGTTCCTAGAATTCATAGAACGATTCATCATCTTTTTGCTCCACATTGCTGATTTGTTTCTTTAGAGATGAGGAGATGGAGGCGGGATAATACCTTTCGAGGAAGCTCTTCTTCATGGCCGCCCAAGTGTCTATGCTTCCCGAGGGAAGATAGAAGAGTCAATCTTTGGTGGTGTCTTTGAGGGAGAATGGGAAAGTCCTCAACTTAATTTGCTCCTCGGTAACACCGTTCGGGAACATGCTTGTGCAAACAATGTGGAACTCCGAATGATGTTTATTCGGATCTTCTCCTCTTAGCCCGTGGAAAGATGGAAGTAGATGTATGAGTCCAGATTTCAACTCAAATGTAGCACCCGCATCAAGAGTTGGGAAGGTGATACATAAGGGTTGTTGATTTAGATTGGGGGCTGTGAGCTCCCTCAGCATTCTTGTTTCAAGAGCCATTGATATTGACTCCTCGGACTCGCTAGATTGAGAACTAGCACTTGAGGATTCCCCCGAGTCGGTATTTGAGAATTTATTCTTTAACCGCTCGAGAGCTTTTTCTATTTCGGGGTTTGTTTGGTAGGTGAGTTGGTTTATGGATCGGGTTTTTACCATATACTCAAACAAAGCTCAGCAAAAATAGAAAACTTTATATATTATTTTTTTTGATTTTTCTTTGAAATAAAATAAAAAGAAAAATTAATTGCCTTTCCCCGGCAACGGCGCCAAATTTGACGAGCACTTTTGTCAAGGTGCGTCAAAATAAATTCAATACTAAACACTTATACGTAGTATAGCGTAGTAGAGTTCGTATCCACAGGGAAATGTATAATTCTCTTTCTATGAATTTTAGTAAATAAAAGGGGGGATTTGGGTTGAGTGATTTAATTTAATTAAAAACTAAGATGAACAACCTATATGTGTTTATTTCAAGAATAAAAGGGACTTGGCTTTGCTACTTTCCACTTGTTGATATATTTCAGTCGATCCTTGTTATATCTATAACTTATCCCCTCTCGAATACTCAATCGAGGAGTATCTCCAATTCATCGAGGGTAGTTATTAACAACGACCGTTTATTAATAACCCTTACTATTAATCAAATATAGAACAACGCCGTATACCGATATAATAGTAGCATCCAATCTTTTTAACTCCTTGATGAAATCAATTGAGATTGATAACTTTAACACAACGGTTTCAGTTTAACCAACAAAATTGATCCCTCTTAAGTTTATTAACCACGACCGTGCATTAATAAACCGAAGTTACTTACTTATGAAACCACCAACGATTAACCATCGGTTCGTTGATCGTTTCTAGTAGTAATTAATGTCGGAACGTTAACTAATCGTCACTTAGCAACCCTCCAACATTAATATAGAATGAGATTAAGGGAAGAATTAATAATCAAGAGAAGAAGTTAAGAAAATAACTCACAACTTTAATAATCAACAAGCTTCAAGAACAAAACCAAGAATGGAAGTTTAGCTCCTCATTTGGAGGCTAAACATAGCTAGAAAAATATAAAGAAATGCTATTCTAAACTGAGCTAAAGAGAATGGAAGAAGGGATGATTTTTAGAGGAGAAAAAGAGTGCTACTTATAGGTGTTTTTCAACACCTTTGGCCGGGTACCCGACCGGGTATAGGTACATACCCGACCGGGTACCGGTCAAAATCAGATAATCTCCCACGTTTCATTGTTCCAGCACGTTAATTTGTCCCGGGTCAAGTCAAACCCGACCGGGTCAAGTGAGGGACCCGACCGGGTTTGGTCTAAATCAGATTTTTTTTTCAAATCTTTGTGATCTTCAGCATGTTCTGGTGTTCCGGGTCATATCTGACCCGACCGGGTCGGGTATGGGACCCGACCGGGTCTTACTTTTTCTTCTTAGATCTGTTCCTCAACTGACCCGACCGATTTCAAGGTCTGACCCGGTCGGGTTTTTGTGCTCCTAGGTCTTTTTGTCTTCAGTTTTTCTCCCTTTTTCCTTGCTACAAACTCTATCACTATTCTATAACTCCGAAAAGAAGGAGAGAACAATTACAAACAAAATAAAACAAGTACTTACAAACTAACTAAAAGTGATGGAAAATCCACACTCAATCAACATAAAAACATACGTTTATACACTATAAACTAGTGCATATAAGTGTACTCCCTCCTCTTGACATTGACCTCAAAGTCGGAGTAGTATTGAGCATAGAACTCTCGCTCAAAGTTTTCCCACGAGATATTCCCACGGTATTTCCCTTCTACTCCTTCTCACCACGTAGAAGCAATCCCTTCAAGCAAGCGTGAAGCAATGGTCAACTTCACGTCAGGGGTGATTTGTGTGTCTCTTGCTGCATCCTTCACCTTCTTTATCCAATCGGCAACAACGGTAATGTCACTGGTGCTGTCGAAGGACTTAAACCCCAAGGCCCTAGCCCCATTGAGGTATTTGGAGATTCTCACATAGAAATCTCCTCCACGCCCGCCTTGGGACGTCCCTGAAATGGCCCTTGAAGCTCCCCAGCTCCCTTGACCCGAACCTCCTGAAGGGGCACGCCTAGTTTGGCGCCTAAGATCCCTCCTTTGCTTCTCTTTCTGATACCACTCAAACAATTCACCCAGTTGGGTGAATCGGGCATCACTCTCGTCGTTGTCCTCCTCATCGGTATCGAAGTCACCCCCGTCATACGGGGTCTCCTCATGCCCCGTTTCGGGAACATAGGTTGCATCATATTCCTCGGTGTTAGTTTCATACATCGAGCTAACATGACCGTCGTTCACTATTCGGGCTCGATAGCACCCATGACTACCACGGCCTTCACGGCCTCCTCTTCCTCCTCTTGAGCCCCGAGATGCGGACCGACTAGCCCCAATAGAGGCTACCAGTGTTTGCCCCCTCAGATTGTTTCTTGTTGGCATAGGTCTACCTTCCATTTCTGAAAAGGAATTTGGATGAGTCGTTAGACTCCAATCAATGTCAACCGACGGAAAACGTTATAGACACATATTGGCCCAAGTCACCGTCATACCAATTGTTAAGGGTACCATCTTAACAACTAGAGACCTTGCAACCTAGGTAACAATAGTTCCATAACGCCAAAATACAATGCTCATGGTTTTCGGTAAAACTCTTTTTGGAAAATCTCTTGTGAGAGGTTGATTACATAGTTTAGAAACTGAGATGGCTCTGATACCACTTAATTGTCACGCCCCAGACCGCATCCAAGCACGTGTACAACCGCCGTGTGATCAAGTGACGTCACTCGCAAGTCAACCTCACTTAATCACACAAGGCGTTCATGAACATCGTTCATACCATACTCAGTAAGTAAACATACATAACAACATCACATCATAGATTGAATGAATAGCGGAAAATATTCATCGGTCAATCATAAGCCACATATGGCAAAACGTAGGCTCGCAGGCCAAAACAAAGTAATATTACAAAAGTATCCATGAGCATAGTTTATGATTTTAACAGTAAAGGAAGCACGAACCACGTCTTCCTCTAGATTCCTTTCACCCGTGCAAAGGTGTAGACAACAAGCTCTAGCTTCAACCTGAAATGGTGGGCCCCTCTGATGAGGTCAGTACAAGTACCCAGCGAGTAGCAAGCTAAATGTAGAGTAACTAACGTTTCAGGTATAAGACCCAAACATAGGGTGATACATATACTTATACATCTTTACCCCAAGTTACAAAAATACATATCGGTACTTATATACACTTGGAAATACCCGACCCGTAGGTCATTTTTTATTTGGGAAAAATAGTAGTAGTCAATGTTCTTGACTTAAAACCCCAACCCACCCATAGACCTATGAGTGTATAGGACTCCTCCTGTCCAAATCAAATAATCATAAGGACACCGCCCGGTCCTGAATTACTAAACAGTAATCTATGAGTTTTGAGGATACCTCCCGATCCTTGGGTACTCCACCCTATATAATCGAGTTTTGAGGATACCGCCCGATCCATGGGTACTCCACCCGACATAACCGAGTTTGGAGGATACCTCCCGATCCTTGGGTACTCCACCTGACATAACCGAGTTTTGAGGATGCCTCTCGATCCTTGGGTACTCCACCCGACATAACCGAGTTTTGAGGATACCTCCCGATCCTTGGGTACTCCACCCAACCTATGATCTACCACATATCACACTAGATAGGGTCTATATCATAATCTATAAACAAGACTAAACCAAGTCTTAAGGCCTAAGCAAATCATCCATGCAATTTATGCATTTAAAATTAACGTGTGGGCAAAATAAGGCCAACCCGGCGCCGGTTCAAATCTGACTGGTGCCGGTTCATAGTCAAATAATATGAGCCGGGCTAAACCCGCTCAAACCGGCGCCAGTTCTATGCATGACCGGCGCCGGTTGCCCTTGGACAACCAGTCAACTCTCGGTTGGCCCGCTATTTCAAATCCAAAATGTGTCAAACTTAATCACAACATGTATTAAGTTATAAACAACAATATTATACATCATTTATCTCTAAACATGTCACATATGTTTTTATAAACATTTTCATGTCACAAATCATGCATATCTCAATAGTTCATTTCATACAAGCCTAATCACTTTGGCTAATCACATGTTTAATCTCATTTAAACATATTTATGAACACATATAACATTTACTTAGGTAATCTCATGCTTAACCCAAAAGTTACAAGACATTAAGACATTCACTCACCTTAAATGAGCTTTAGCGCGTTCTACGCTCCTCAGTTGGACTCCGGTGAAACTCCGACGAAACTCCGCCGAAACTCCAGCGAAACTCCGACGAACTCTAGAAACACTTTATTTATGCTTCTAACATGGTTTTATCATCACAAAACTCATATCAATACAAATAACCTCTAAAAGGTTATTTTCCGGCGAACCGGTCGTTTTGGCCTCTAAGTCCGTTCTTGGACATAGAACTACCTCCCAACCCCTCATTCTACATTTCTAAGCATGTAGAACAGCCCTAGGGGTCCTTCATATGTTATATAAGCCATATGATAAAATAAAAGTAGAGGAAAAATTATTATAAGGTTATTACCTTAATCTTTCACACTTTTCCTAATTTTTTTCCCTTCTTTAATCACATTCCTTGGACCAACCTTGCTTGAACTTGATTTGCAGCAATGGAGTATGTACTTAGGGCTTCCTTTCTCTCTTTCTTTTGGTCCATGTCGAGCACATAGGTTGGAGGGAGAGAGGATGACTCACTTTTGTTTTAATTGACAAATGAGTGAGGGAGGGGGTCCTCTATGTACTTTTGATGCCAAAAGAAAAATCCTCCTCCACATCTTTCTTGTCATTCCAGCCCCTATGTGACTCATTGAGTGCAGAAAAACGTGGGGTGGCCCCCACTCATGTGGGAGGTCATCCCTTTGTGTCCCGGTATGTACAATCGGTCCCGAAAGTTGTATTTTTCGGACTGCTTCAAATATATTTTATTTTATCGGATCAAATAAAATATAACACATGTTCCTACTCATTATAGGCCTTTATAATGGATGTACATTCTCCAACATTAATTTAGAAGTCCCCGAAATTCGTTTCGGACTGTTATCCGATAAATTACCCATACTGGTAATTGGGCATCGTTTGACCGATGGGTCAACCCTATACCCTTTCTATGGCCCAAATAAAATATCCAACACCATATAAATATTTTCTAGACCAAGATGAATATAATATGTGGTCCCGGGATTATCGGGTGGTCCCCGCTCCCAATGTGGGCCTCGCGTGCAATTCATTATTCACACAAAAGTAATAACAAAATTTTTACAACCTTGTAAATTCATAAATCATTATTCAAGGTTCATTACATGATTTACTAAAAGTAAATATACTTGGGGACGGTGTTACAAAACACCTTATTGATTTTAACCCAAATGTATTGTATAAAATAATGTTTTTATTTTTATATATGCAATATTGGTGTCATATGAAATATAACAGAATGTTACAAATTTTGATGTATTTTCCGTAAAAATTGGAGTACAAATAAATAAGTAGTAATACATTTAAATAAAGTTTTTCTTCTCCTTCATTTTATCTAAATGAGCAGTGATACGTGCATTGAATAACAATGATGAACCAAGTCAACTTATATGAATTAAATGTTTTAGTAGCAATGATAATAGAATTTTTATAAATCAATAGAACTTTTAACTCGGATTTGCTATATAAAATACTACATTTATCCCTTTCAAAAGTTCTCGTCCACTATTATCCGGTTAACATAAGTTTTTCTTTTGTGACTTTATAAAACTTTTGATGTAGTCTCTGGATAGGTAAATTTTATTTACTAAAAAGAATCTAATTACAGATAGGATCAATTAACTTTATGGTCAGTTAAATATCGTAAACCGTGGGAACTGGGAACCTTTCTACGGGACATAGATAGATATATTTTTATTTTTTTATATATGATATTGATCCATCATATGAAAGTTAATAAAAAGTTATGAATTTTGATATAGTTTTTGTAAAAATTGGATTATAAATATAGAAGTTATGTCACTTTAAAGAGGGAGATTGTTTCTCCTTTTTTGCACCAAATCGGTTGTGATGTAGGGAGTTTTTTTTAAATAACCATGTGATGTAGAGAGTTAATTAATTGTTTTAATTGTTGTGATAATAGAATTTGTTTTATCCAATAGGAAGCTGGACACATCATTAGTTATTAACTCAACTTTACTATATAAAATTTAGCTAGAAGGTGGGATGCACCTACAAAACGTTGAAGTTCAAATCAAAATGCATTTCATAGGTTTTAAGACAATGACGACAAATATATTTTCATATTTTAGAGAGAATGAAAGTCGGGCTATTAGTCCACTATACTATACGGAGTAATACTTATTGGAAGAAAATGCTAAACTACTTTTCAACATAGTGATTTATCCTTACATGATACCACCAAAAGTTCAGTGTGAAATGCATATTTTCATGAGTGATGTGAATTGAGAAATGCAAGTCCATGCATACTAGATTTCTTAGTGTGTGTTTTCAGCATTCTTTGTCAAAAAAAAAAAAAAAATGGTAGGAGAAGCCTAACTCTGTATACACCCTTGCGATGGGACCCTTACCCAGAAGCCAGAGTCCCGGACACTGAAGTTAGGAGGATGCTTTCTTGCAGTGAGCTGCCCATTAGAAGACAAGGTCAATATATAGATACTTCATACTTGGTAGTTACTTACAAGTTGGACATGTTATACCTAGTATAGGTTTAGGTTTGGTTTGGTGTTCTTTATGTATTTAAAAAACAAGAATTGCTGTATTCTTGACTCTTGAGTCTTGACTGCTTGTATTTGGATTATTATTTGGTAAAATGAGACTTAATAATAATATGTCATTATTGTGAAAGAGTTGTACGGCTAATGTGCTAAAGTTCCCTTGTTTCATTTATTTTAGATGGCACTAGGAAGCAAATGCCAACACAGGAAAAAAAATCACTGAGTTAAAATTTGGTAAGCACTATAACTATTTGAAAAAACACCAACAGAGAAAGTGAGAAATGCTCTTTAAATAACAAAGTTGTACTCCAACTTGCACATACAAGATCACTACTTCCTCAGACAAGCCTTTGACAGCAAAAATGATGTCAATTTGAGCAGGTGAACAAGTTGGTGTACAACTTTGTTTTACAAATAGCACAACCGCATGGTCAAACACTCACGATAGTACGATACAGAAGGGCCGCAAGTCCGCAACCATAGTTCAGACACCTTTTTTTTTATCTAATTGCAAGTAGCCAGCCAGCAAACAACAACAGTTAGATGAAGATAGCCATATTACATAACAGGTCACCCCGGGTTTCGCCATATTAAATACATCCTAGCCCCAGGAACACTTCCAGGTTTACAGGAATGCCTCATTTGACTGAGATTAAACATATGATACAAGAGGACTACTACTTACTCTTTTATTTATTACTTCCTACTGAAGAGTTTGACAAGCAAACCAGATACTGCAACCATCAAGCAGAGCAACTGTAAGATCACGATGCGAGTCAGCCTCCTCTTCATCACTCTCACGTCTTCCATAACTGAAGTCAACCTCGCATTGATTTCACGTATCACGTTGACATCAACTGGTTCTGTTTCCCTCGGCAGGTAGGCTCCCAGCGAAGGCATGTAGTCCTCTATAACAATGCGAGGCTTCCTATTTGGGCGAACACGGATCCTAGTTGGGTGAAATTCTTCATCTGCCGCTGGCCCTAAATTTTCCATCCTGATCAGCAACGTTTAGGTTTAGTCTTTCTGTATTCTTCTGTTTGTTTTAAAGCAAATGATTGCCAAACTCAAATAAACTATGGTAACTTTGAATTGGATTAGGTTTGCTTCGCGGAATGTAATATCACCTCAATTATGTGATTATCTCAGGGAATGTCATGTCAGATTGCAAGAATATAAAATATGAAGATAATATGATTGTCTAGGTAATTTGAGAATATAGGAATTTAAGGTTAATTGGTGTGTTTGGGTGGTATAACAAAAATGTAATATGTCTGAAGTAAAAAATACAAGAATAAATTATACTACCTCCGTCCCGGAATTATCTCCTTATTTGATTGGGCACGGGTTTTAAGATAATGGGAAATGTGTGGTGGAGAGTTGTGCAGAGGAAAGAGAAATGTGTAAGAATGGTTGTGAACCACAAATTCTTTGCCAAAAAAGGAAAAAGGAGATAAATTTGGGACGGACCGAAAAGAAAAGAATGAAGATAATTCCGGGACGGAGGGAGTATAAGAATAGTAGAGCATGACCAAATCCGACACCAATCTCTTTTGGAACTAAGGCTTGGACGTTGTTGTAGAACATGACCAACAAAACTAGTTAATACTACGTATAACATTAGCTTTCTAACCTTACCAAAGAATATTAAATAACTTGAACCAAACACTTTTAGTTTTTTATGGGGAGAATTTGACTTTGCACCCCATGTTTTAGGTGAAATTTGACTTTACACCCTATTTTCAAAATCATTAATGTATGCACTCCACATCACTATAAAGTCTTGATTTTGCACCCCACTCCTTCACAAATTTTAGCTGCTGGGATGCATACATTAATGATTTTAAAAATGGGGTGTAAAGTCACATATTACCCAAAACATGGGGTGCAAAGTCAATTTCTCCCTTTTTTATTTTATTTATGGAATAATAACTTTAAATAATATCAACTATCATTGGTATTCCGGTAAATTAATAATACTGCATACTATAGAAATAACAATTTCATAGCCGAACTATTCAAATATATAACAAATTGATAGTGAGACACTTCTTGACCTCAGTTCGGTGATTAAAATCATCAAAAGCTTATACCAAACCATCAAATAAAGCTCATTCGATAGTTAAATATAATACTTTGATATGTTCAATGGCCGTATTTGAAGTAAAATAGTTGCTCAGTATAATCTTTGTTATATACTACGTATTTGAATAGTTGGGTATAAATCAATTACGTATTAGAATAGAATAAATTATTATTGGTGATAGTTGATATTATATAAATTTAATAAGAACTTGTGGTGTTTATTTTTGTTCGGTTGGGTTTTAGGCAGTCAGGTTAATACGGTTGCGGAAAATCATTATCAACCAAAACCAAATTGCATATGATTTGATTTTCGTTTGGATCAATTGGATTTGGTCAATCAGCACTAAAATGTCTACCATGAGTCCAAAAATGGAATAATAGAATCATCACTGATAATAATAGTAACAATGACAACGAAATGGGATATCAAATATGCCCGTTATTAGATGCTAAAATAATGTAGCCAAAAGCAGGGGCGTATATAGGGTGTGGGCAGTGGGGGCAGCTTCCCCTCTCAACCCCAACGCAACCCCAATGTGTGTGTATGTATGTATGTATGTATGCAATTTTTTGTGTATGTACATGCATATGCACTTAATATATGTATAAATACAAGGAATATGCATTTGGTAACAAGTTGTTGTGTTGGTAGAGTGGTAGTAGTGCTGCATTTGTTTAGTTGCTGCTTCGATGCAGGTTCGATTCCCAGTAATTGGAAGGTTTTATTTGTTTCATCTTTCCTTTTAAAACTTGTCCTAATCTTCCTTAATTTTGGATACTTTTTTTTAGGTCTAGTCTTAATCTTTTATATCATTTAGTATGTAATGTAATTTACTGACTACTAACAAAATTTTAAATTTTCCTGAATGTACAAATTATATAATTAATATTTCTTGTTTCATCTGTCCTAAATGGATTTTAATTCACGGTTTTCAAGGTTGAATGATGATAAAATTAAAGCATCCTTGCGAATAGTTAAATCAACTTTATTAGTTCAAAGTTAACTATTTTGAAATGTTAAATATGTTAATAAAACGAAACCGTGTTAATCAAGAAAAGTTGAGGGAGTAATGTGAAGTTACATAAGCAATAAAAAGTATTTTTAAAAGGAATATAAAGATTTTTTAGAAGAAATGAAAATTAAGAAACGTTATAATATCTTTTTAACAAGTGTTGTTACTTGTAGTTGTTTTTAAATTATCGCTATCATATGGTAATCGATTAATTTCGAAATGTGTACGACAACAACCTTCCCAGTGTAAATTTGCTCTCAGTCAAAGAAAATCCTAGATAGGCCACTGGCTAAAAGGATGTAAATTTTTGCCTTAACAGTGAGATTGTAGAAGCACTAGACCCATTTCCGAAAAAATTCGAAAAGGAAGCCAAAGAGGCGTCAATCATATTATGAGAAATTTCAACTATTTTTGTAATTTTTCGTATTTTGGAGGAAAAGAGAAATGAAACCCTAAGAAGGATTGAGGGAACAAGTAACTAAATCAGTTAAAGGGGTGTTTCATTGGATGTATAATGTATTGGCCTTCGATTTTAACAGATGAACTGAAGCTGGATGAGAATACTTCTGATAAACCCATAAGAGTATAAAACCAAACAAACGAACCAATAGATAAAAAACAGAAATGCAAAAGAGAGAAAGATGATAGTGGAATACCTAGTCTTCTCCACCCAGAGCAGAGGGCCGCCGGGAAGAATGTAACCGAAGGAGATGATCGTTGCAGGTGGAGTGAAGGCGGCGGTCTCGGCCCCCTTGTCACAGAGAGTTCTCCTATGGTGCACCGCTTTGGGCTAAAATTTTGGGCTCTACATATATCATGTCACGCTTGTAGTGAGGAGAAATTCGACTCATCCGAAAAATGGTTGACTCAACAAGGTTCAAAGAGATAATTATTTTTGTTTTTTTAAATATAAAAGAGCGGATTTTTATATTAATATCGTAACATCATACTCGTACAAGACAACCTTCATACAATTATGATAGAGCTGATTGTAAATCTTAGAAATAGGCATAAAATTAATCATCTCATACAAAACAGCCAGATTTGCTAGACACAAAACGGACAAATTTAAACTTGAAACAATGGGAAATGCCTATCAAAAGGTACTCCAGCCATCTAAATATCCAAATAAAATCTATTCGAAGTAAATTAAAAATAAGTACTACTAAAGAAAAAATATAATTGAAATAAAACTTTTCCACAAAACTTTTCTTGGCACAGAGGTGATTCTGAAGGAGGACGAGCGTTACTGTTTTATACGCAATCCTAAAGAAGGCAGTTGGAAACCTCTGACGAGACGAAGCTGGACGGAACACCAAAACAACTCCCTACGTCGAGAAGACAAAACAACTCAGTGCGTCAGTGCCCGGGAACGAACCACCATAGTCGTACCAAGAATCTCCAAGAGCTGATGAAACATAGAGCAAGATATAGAATCTGCTACCTGCTTTGATGTGTCGTCCGTGCTCTTAATTTCATGAGCTGCATCGATTGTTCCATCGTTCCACAAAAAAAGGTGGAATCTCCCACTCCAGGAGTCCCCCACCCCGACAGGATGGTGGGGAGGTTAGTCACGGTGACTCAGTCAGCAGAATGGCAGTAGGCCCATACACTCGTGCGCACCAGAGGCCCAGCCTTATTTCAGGTTCTGTGACCTCCACCCGGTCGCTGCGGGGATTCGAACCTTGGTCCATTGTTCCAAATCTCCCACCACTCGACCAACTGAGCTACCCGTGCGGGTAAAAATGGACTGTAGTGTCGCCGTCTATAATTCTTTTTGTTATTCAGAGCCACCAACTTAATTATTGAAATAACAAATAAAATGTTTAACCATTAATACCAATACAATAAAAAATCATCATAAATTTATTAAAAAAATCTACACTTGGTATACAATCACTACATTTTACAACTTTCAAAAGCATTTTATCCATGTTATTTTATACTCCGCAATAGATTTTTTTACTCGTTTTGATTAATGAGTTTTTATCTTCACAGCCTCGACCCCATAACTAGGCTGCTATAATCAATTGTAATTTTTTTTGTATCTTTTTAACAAGAGAAAAATATTAAAAAAATGTATAAAACCGAAACAAGAGGCGGGCACAATAATTTTGGAAAATTTAGGCATGCAAAAATGCAAAATCTTGTATGCAGTAGCAGTAACTACTTGTATTGTGAAGTTTAATTATGAGACTGGACTACTAATAAAAGTTAAGATACGCGAACACTTTGTACTCTTTACCATTTTTTCATTCTTATAATAATAGGAAATTTCAAGATTCGTAAGTCTATAGAAGTATTAGGAACATTTATGACAAAAAAAAAAACTTTTGACTAAATTAATACATGCATCAAAGATTCAAAGCTAATCTTTTTTATCAATATTCACTTAGTTATGAAACGAAAGTTTAGGCTTCAATTAATTACTCTTAGACTGAATACTTCGTATATGAAATAACATACGTAGTACTACGTATATCATTCGAAGTTCTCGTAATCTTTTTGCAAAAAAAAAACCCTACTTTTCTATTATTTACAAATGCCACACACAGACACACTATATTGACGAGAAATTCAGTCCCAAATAGGATCTAATCTCACTAAACATGATAAAACTCATAGAATCAAACAATAAGAACACTAATCGGTTGATCGAGGAGAAACCGAACGTTGATGGTGCCGTAGAAGATGAAGTCATTGATGTGTAGATTCTCTTAGGATACAAACTACAAATCGATGGATTTCTAAGTCTCCCTTGGGTCTCTTTATAATGGTGTTCTCGAGATCCTTAGGAAGAAACACGTCTCTTTCCTTTTGTCGTAAGAGTTGGAATGAGCGTGTACTTTTATATATATTGTATCAAGGAGAAACTCTTTTGGTCCCTTATGTATTATTTAATGTTAAAACACCCATTATATGTTAACTATACATAAATACAGGGACCAAATCTGTCATATGACAAATTTAATTGTAAGACATAAATGTCCCCAATATATATTAAATTTTTATAAATGGTCCAAGGGCATTTAAATGGAATAATTTCCAACATTCTCCCACTTGACCTTGAGATCATTTATACATAAGTTAAAGTAAGTTTTGGCCAAAAAAAATTCATCTTACTCCATAATAATATCAAAGCAAACAAATACAGTTCTTAAAGAGAATAAGGATTAATATAAGCAGAATGACATTAAACTTAGGGTATTGTGTTTGTCTATTAAATAACTTTGTGTGCACAATGAAGAATAGACAAAACATACTTAAGGAGGAATTCTAAATCAAGTACTTGAAAATATTAAATAAGATAACTAATCAGACACTATGCTATTAATTCCTAAGCATGATCTTTGATCAAGCCCATATTAGTGACACGTCTTTGAAAAATACTGGGCGGGAGTCCTTTGGTGAGAGGATCTGCTAGCATATCATTTGTGCTTATGTGTACGATACAAATTTTGTTTTCGTCCACTCTTTCTCGAACGAACAAATATTTTGTATCGAGGAACAATCCCGCTCCACTCGAACTGTTATTGTTTGAGAAGCTCACGGCCGCGGTATTGTCACAATAAATCCTTAGTGGTCTTGAGACGGAATTCACTACTTTGAATCTTTTGATAAGATTCCTTAACAACATCTCATGACATGTTGCGTTGTACACCGCTACATATTCGGCCATCATTGTTGAAGTAGTCGTAAGTCTTTGCTTGTGGCTTTTCTAAGATATTGGCCCTACCTGACAGCAAGAAAATGTATCCCGAAGTAGACTTCCTATCGTCTTTGTACTTGGCAAAGTCAGAATCAGAATATCCCACCACTTCTAAATTATTAGACCTCCGATATGTAAGTTTGTACTCTTTAGTCCCTTGAAGATACCGCAAAACTTTCTTAGCAGCTTTCCAATGATCTAATCTTGGGTTAGATTGATATCTTCCCAACATACCGGATACATATGCAATGTCTGGACGAGTACAAACCTGAGCATACATCAGGCTTCCAACTACGGAAGCATAAGGAATGAGTTTCATTTGCTCTTTCTCAACCTCAGTTTTTGGGCATTGAAATGACCTAAAAACGTCTCCCTTAACTACTGGAGCAACTGATGGAGAGCATTGTTGCATGTTGAAACGTTCTAAAATGCGCTCAATGTATGCCTTTTGGGACAAGCCTAACGTCCCTTTGGCTCTGTCTCGGTTAATTTCAATGCCTATAACATAAGAAGCTTCACCTAGATCTTTCATATCAAAATGGCCAAATAATAAGCATTTTGTTTCATGCAATAAATCCAAGTCACTACTTGCTAATAAAATGTCATCAACATATACCACAAGTATGATGAATTTGCTCCCACTCATTTTGAGGTAAGTGCATTGATCTACTTTAATTTTAATGAAGCCATTTGATTTCATGACTTCATCAAATTTGAGGTACCATTGCCGAGATGCTTGCTTGAGCCCATAAATAGACTTCTTGAGTTTACACATTAGATGTTCTTGACCCTTAGAAACATAACCTTCTGGTTGTATCATATAAACATCTTCGTGTAAATCTCCATTTAAGAAGGCTGTTTTGACGTCCATTTGATGTAGCTCAAGATCAAAGTGAGCTACTAAAGCCATAGCAACCTTTAGGGAGTCCTTTCGAGAGACGGGTGAAAAGGTCTCTTGATAATCTACACCTTCCCTTTGAGTGTATCCCTTAGCGACCAATCTTGCCTTGTATCTTTCAATGTTTCCCTTTGGATCTAATTTAGTCTTAAAGACCCACTTGCTTCCAACGGGCTTTTGACCCTTTGGTAATTCAGCAAGTTCCCAAACATTGTTCTTCTCCATGGAAAGAAGTTCTTCATTCATGGCTTCTTTCCAATGAGTCGATTGGTCACAATTAATGGCATCAAGGAAAGATATAGGGTCTACGACTTTCCCTAAATCAAAGTCAACTTCTTCATTTAAATATATCAAATATTCGTCAAAGTTTGTGGGGCGTCTGACCCTTTGAGATCTCCTTAAGGGTTGCTGATTTTCTGGAATTTCATTAGTAATCGTTGGAGTTGGTTCAACATTGATTGGAGTTTCATTCGCCTCTTGATTTGTCGCATCATTATTATGAGGCGTATGACTTTCACTATGATTTTCAAGTGACGAATTGGGTGGAATGGGCAGTATGATAAGGGGATTCATTCCACTACCTTCTTGAAGTTCATCACAAATGTTTGAACCATTACTACTCCCACTAAAGTTAGTATTCTCAAGGAATTCAGCATGTCGGGTCTCGACAATTCGGGTAGTATGAGATGGGCAATAGAACCTATATCCCTTAGATCTGTCGGGATAACCAATAAAGGAACAACTAATGGTTCTCATGTCAAGTTTCTTCAATTGAGGATTATAAACTTTTGCTTCAGCCGGACAACCCCACACTTTTAGGTACCGTAGACTAGGTTTCCTGCCGTCCAAAGCTCATATGGAGTCTTAGGGACAGATTTAGATGGTACTCTATTCAGTATGTGGGTTGCTGTTTTTAAGGCCTCGGTCCATAAGAATTGGGGAAGATTAGAGTTAGCCAACATACTTCGGACCATATCCATAAGAGTCCTGTTGCGCCTTTCAGCAATCCCATTTTGTTGAGGGGTGCCAGGCATGGTATATTGGTTGATGATCCCGTGATCTTTACAAAATTCATGGAAAGATCCAGGAGCTTGACCAATATCAATGTGTCGACCATAGAACTCTCCACCCCTATCCGATCTCACTACTTTGATTTTTCGATCAAGTTGATTTTCAACTTCGGCTTTATAAGCCTTGAACATATCTAGTGATTCAGATTTTTCTTTAATGAAATATAGGTACACATAGCGTGAATAATCGTCTATGAAAGTAATAAAGGGCTTATGACCACTAATGGAATCGGGAAAAGGTTCACAAATATCGGTGTGTATTAATTCTAACAAACCGGTGCTTCGTGTGGCGCCTTTCTTAGTTTTCTTAGACAATTTCCCTTTCAAACACTTCACACATTTGTCATAATCTGAGAAATCGAGATTTGGAAGAATGCCATCTTTCACGAGTCTTATCATTCGATCTCGTGATATGTGGCCCAACCTTTGATGCCACAAATTGGACGATGATTCTAATTCTCTCTTTCTCTTGCAAGGATTTTCAGTTATATTAAATGACAATGAGGATTCCATAAAATCAGTATCTAAGCATAGTTTATAGAGGTTTCCCTCCATGCTACCAAATCCTATTACATTTGAGTTCAAGCTTAATGTCACTTTATTGTATACGAAATTAAATGTAAAACCATCAACACTTAGTTTCGATACAGACACTAAATTATGAGTAATATTAGGTACATGAAGAGCATCACGAAGATGAAGAATGAAGCCACTCTCTAAAATTAATGAGATAGTTCCAATGGCCTCCACTTCTAATTCTTCTCCATTGCCCACCTTAATCACTCTTTGCTTTCTTCCCGATGTCCGGATTGAATGGAATCCCTGCAGTGTGTTTGAAACATGAACCATTGAACCAGAGTCAATCCACAAAGTATTAAGGGGAACTAATGTGTTCAATGACTCATAAATCACATAAGTGGTTAAGTTATCTTTCTTAGTGAGTCATGCCTTAAACTTAGGGCACTCCCTCTGGTAATGCCCTTTGAAGCGACAAAACTTGCAGTAGAGACCGGAGCTCTCATTTGCACCTATCTTTGGGACCTTAGAAGTATAACCTTTTCTTCCTCCTTGACAGTTACCTTTCATTTTCTTTGAGTTTGTGGTGGTGAGATGAGCAACATCTGGTTTTTCAGCTTTAAGACGCTCTTCTTCTTGAACGCACATAGCAATCAACTCGCTCATTGTCCACTTCTCTTTCTGCGTGTTATAATTGATCTTGAACGGACCATATGATGCAGGTAGAGAAGTCATTATGAAATGAACGAGGAAACCTTCACTGATCTCCATGTCCATGCTTTTGAGCTTATTGGACATATCAGATATTTTCATGATGTGCTCACGAATACCACCCACTCCATCGTACTTACTTGTCAACATTTTGAGAATTAGGGTACTAGCATGTGCTTTAGAAGTGCCCTTAAACTGTTCTTCCACATATTCTAGGTAGATTTTTGCATTTTCAGAGTCTGGAATGGCTCCGCGAATAGCTACAGATATGGAATTTTTTATCACCATGAGGCACATTCGGTTGGAACTCTCCCACTGTTCATAAGAACGCTTCTGATCCACAGTGCTCTCAGCGTTAGGAGCATCCAGTGGATCAGTTCTCAGTGCTTGGTCGAGGTCCATCATGCCAAGTGAGAGCTTTATAGATTCTCTCCATGTTGAAAAGTTTGTACCATTTAGAGGTTCTGTCCCATAATTATATGGGGTAACAGTAGATGCTGAAATAAAAGTTTTAACAGAGGTAATAATAGAAGCTATTATTATAATATATAAGGGAATACAATAAGGCATGTCAATCATTAGTAAATAAGCCTATTATCAACATCAAATAATAGGAAAAATTCATATCGTGTTTAATAACTAACATTGCGTTGGCTAATGTTAATTATCAAATATTATGATATTAAAATTAAAATTAGGCTGCAAATTGTGTCACATATCACCTTTGGGCAGAAATATAACACATTTGATTACGCTTAAATTTCATTATACAAGTTATCAAGTAACACACCTTTGGGTTTATTAAAAGAAAACTCATATAATGGTTTAAGATAGTCAAAACAAATGATCTTCAGTTGGGCAAAACATTTAATTTGACACTAAGATCATATTTGTGCAGTATTAGTCTTACAACTATAGAATATATTTAAGCACTCCTTTTAAATTGCAAGTGTTCATACATAAAGTTTCAGATCATATATATGTATTTGTAATAGGTTAAATTTGCAATTTAGAGTGATACCATGCATGTAAGCAAAATTTTTGGTCAAAACGAATCTGATAGATTAGCATTGAAGACTTTCAGTTTTTAACTTAATTAAATGGTTCAATGTCTAGCAAATTTCCAGAATAATTAATCATTTTGTGTATAAGAACCTTCTAACGCACTGTTTTGTATACTTTAACATGATTTTACACATTCTGAAAAATTTGAGTCCTAAAACACGAATCTGATGTGTTTTAAATTTATTCTGGAAAATTGGCAAATACAAAACAAAATAATGTATTTCAGATTCTGAAAAGCAAACGATTGAGTAGAAAACAAACTCAATCAAAACTGAGTTTCAAAAAAAAGACCAAAACATGGAATATGAATCTGCACTTACCCATATGGGAATCAATAGTTATTAGTGGAACACATGTTCTTTTGAGACATAACGTATTCAGTGCAGATACTCACTTCATCCAAAATCAATGAGACACCAAGGAACATCACGAATTGGGAAATACAAAAGCATTAAAAATTAACAACCACTCATACGAATCTCAACACAATTTCAGAGCTCACAATTTCAGAGCTCTCATCAGAAGCATCATACGTCGGTATGGCAGAAAAACTAACGAATCATTTACGGCATATTGCAAAGTTCGAAATTTATCATATAAGTGAGAATTAACATGCTCTGATACCAAATGATGAGAAATTCAGTCCCAAATATGATCTAATCTCACTAAACATGATAAAACTCATAGAATCAAACAATAAGAACACTAACTGGTTGAGGAGAAACCGAACGTTGATGGTGCCGTAGAAGATGAAGTCATTGATGTGTAGATTCTCTAAGGATACAAACTACAAATAGATGGATTTCTAAGTCTCCCTTGGGTCTCTTTATAATGGTGTTCTCGAGATCCTTAGGAAGAAACACGTCTCTTCCCTTTTGTCGTAAGACTTGGAATGAGCTTGTACTTTTATATATTGTATCAAAGAGAAACATTTTTGATCCCTTATGTATTATTTAATGTTAAAACATACCCATCATATGTTAACTATACATAAATACAGGGACCAAATCTGTCATATGACAAATTTAATTGTGAGACATAAATGTCCCCAATATATATTAAATTTTTATAAATGGTCCAAGGGCATTTAAATGGAATATTTTCCAACATATATTTCTTTTGTTGATTTTATTGGAATATGCCCCTTTGAATTATAGATGTTTCAAGTTTATACTCAGTATGTATTCAACCGTTTTTATACCTTTTCTAGGGGATGTTTGAAAATTAGCTTTTAACGATTAGCGAATTATGTTAGTAGACTGTTGATAACAGATTCAATTAGGAAAGTTGACTGGTGAAATAAATTGGAAGATTCTAAACAGATGTTCGATAATCTAGTTGTTTTGACGTAACGGTTAGTAGAAAATACCCTCTCCCAAAATGCTAAATCCAATGTAGCGTTTCTGTTTCAGTGATTTTGCTAAAAAAATGTGAGGACTGAATAACTTTTTATCAAACATGAATTATCATTTTCATTTATGAAAAACACTATAAATGATCAAACCTTTATTTTTTTTTTGTTTGAACGCTATTTATCAAAGACACCCTAAATGTCAATTGTCATTATTATTAAGAAACTTTCAATAATAAGGATAATAATAGAAATTACTCCAAATAGGACTAAAACTATGGAAAAAACTCAAAATAGGACTTACTATGTTTTTCTTTTCAAAATAGGACCAAATTAATCTTATTGGAAACATACCTATTTTTTCCTTCCATTCTTACCCTTCCTTTAAATATGAGTTAAATAAATGTTTAATTCATAATAAATTCGAAAAAAATTCAAAAATTCGTAGAAAAATAATTAAAAAATTTATAAAATATTTATAAAAAAAATTAAAAAAAAATTATTTTTAAAAAAATTAATAAAAAATAGTAAAACTCCATTAAAAAAATTAAAAAAATATGGATGCCTTTCCCACCGCCTGTACTACCTCCCTGCACAACAATCTTCGGGTGGTGAAAAAAATGCCATTTTCCCTAAAAACTGCCATTTTTTCCTGAAATGCCAAAAACATGGCATATTTCTCTTTGAGAATGCCAACATTTTCATTATTTTCTGCCATAAATGTGGCATTCGTAATGAACTTGACATTTTTTTCCCCGGTGACTGGAGGTGGTGGTGCAGAGGCGGCGGTGAATTTTATTTTATTTTTTTGAGTTTTTTATTTTTTTTTTATTTTTTTTTTTATTTTTTTTTGAAAAAAAAAATAAATTAATTAATTAATATCGAAATATTTTAATTAGTTTTTTAGGATTTTTTACGAATTTTTATTATTTTTTATCATTTTATTATGAATTAAAACATTTCAATAGCTAGAAAGGTATATTTGTCCAAGACACACATAATTAGTCCTATGAAAACATAGTTTAACTTTTGATCCTATTTGTTCCATGTGAGTGACTTTTAGTCCTATTTTGATAATTAACCCTAATAATAAAGGTAAAACCCCAAATTTGAAGAGATTTAAACACTTATGGTCGCACGCAATTTAAAGCATCACAAAGGCACATGAAACACACGTCCACACATATTAACATACTAGAGGGCAAAATCATAAACTGTACACCCAAAAAATGACACAAAATATTTGCTAAAAACAGATTACTCAACAAAACCTAAAATAGACCTAAAATAACTGGTTTGGTGTAAAGGAAGAGCTAAAATAAAAAAAATATCATGACACCAATAGTCTACAAGAGTTTGTAGTAGCAATTGTTGCCAGAAAGAAGGATTTCATAGCCTTTCTTGCATGGGCATTTGAAGTGGATCACTAACCCCTCCCCACCTTTCTCCTCTACCCACACTGATTCTTCCGGCTGGGACGACGCCGTTTTGTCCTCTGGTTCGTTCTCAATCTGCAGCCAAAAACCATATCCAGTGAGTAATTTAACTCTAATTTATCTGCATCTTTTTTACAGTATTGACTGAAAATCACTGTTCCACTCTAAGCTATGCCAAAACCTTAAATTCCCATAATTAAGCTTCCTTCCAATAGATCCAGCAAGTATTAAAAAATTATCACTGAATATGACAAGATTTGTATATGATCAGGTTAAAGACCTTTGAGGTGTCATCTTCAGAAGGGTGGTCTTCTTCATTGACCTCTTCTTCTTCTTCTTGCAAAACTTGATCCCACCATTGCTGCATTTGTCTCATCCTTTCTTTGATCTTCTCCAGCCTCTGCAATTAGTTATTAGTCCAAGAATGAATGAACGAATGAAAAACAATAGATCGCTAATAATGGGTCGTTTTAATTAAAAGTTCAAAGATGGTGTTGATTAAAAGATTCGACCTTTGTGCTGGGACTCTCATCACCGGAGTTCGGGGGGGATTTGATGTTTTGGGCCGCCCGAGCAGCTCTCGGCGGAGTGGCAGCTTGCTGCGGCGGCGGCTGGAACTCTATGGCCACAGATGGATCCGAGATGGATCTGTAGAGAGGAGGGAGAGACGGCGGCGGAAGCGGGGAGAGACCAGAACTCTTCGCCGGTGAAGGTTGTTTGTCAACAGCGCCGGCGTTCTTGGATTTCTCCGGCGAAGCTGAATTCAAGAAGTGGGTGAAAGGGATGATGGAACTGAAATCTACCGTTTTGGGATTCTGACCAGCGAGAGAATCTATTGGCTCCGATAGGCTCCGGTAGAGAAGGGGAGACCGCGGTTTGGAGCAGATAGCGCCGGCACCGGCGGCAGGGGAGAAGGAAGGTGGGAACAGAGTTGCCCGTTTCGGGGAGGGCTCCGGGAGAGAAGAAAGGAAAGAGGGCGGTGACCTTTTCGCAGGGCCGCCGCATGAAGTAAAGTTCTCAGCTGCTGTGGAGGCGGAGCGGCGTTTGGCGGCGGAGTTGAGGTGGAGCAGGGACAAGTGATGGATAGCGCCGGTCTCAAATCTGCTGCCGACTGCTTTTCCTTCTTGAAGATTCTGTCCCTTGAGGATATCTGATTCACCCTCATCTTTTTCTTGATGAAAGCAAAGCATCTTCAATCCGGCGTGATCGATATTAATTTTCAGCTGGTTTCTTGAATCTTGATTATTGAAGGGTTGAAATTCTGCAGAGCGATGATAGTGAGCTTTCACGTTATGGAGTAAATATATGCGCAAAATAAACCGTTTTTATTTAGTGAGCTTTACAGTTTGCTTCTTCTTCTTTCAATTGCCGTTAGTCGTTATTATATCTGAAAATAAAACGACCCTCACGATTTGCAGCTATTTTCTGGCAGCGTGTAATAATCAATAAAAATGAGGAACATTCTTGGTGTACACCCTCGGTTACCCCGGGTTATTTGCCATTTACATAGACAAAAAATATACAAATATAGACAATTTCGACAAAATAATTCTAAATTCTTAGTTACTTACTTTGAACATTTAACTTCAACATTAGAGTATTCTTAAACGTAAATGTGATTCTAAGGAAATAAATTAATCTAACCCTTGAATTTAGCAATGCCTAAAAAAATATTTTTCAACTTTTTACTTAAAATAAACTTAAATAAGTGTTTTCAAATGTCTACTTATGTTTTAGTTATTAAAACCTGGAAGCTGGTATATGAGTGTTTCTAACCATTTCTCGATTTTATTGTAAATATAACTCAAACTCTATGGTAGTTATAATTGTAAATATCTAAAATCTTATAATGGTGAATGAGGGTAAGGGTGCTTTGGGTATAAAAAATGTGTTGGTGTAATTATATGCTAATATGCTAATGTAAACTTGTACTTTTAGCTTAGAAGATCTTGCCTAAGTCTATTCATTATCTTTAATCCCACTACATTCCGTTAGCTGATTAACGTAGTAAAACTGACCTTCCGTTCTTCCGTTTAGCTTAGTAACATTATTACATTCCTTGCTATTGCATAGTAAATTAGTAACATAGAAAAATGTAATCTGTTTTTTTCCTTCAACAATAAATACGTAGTATTGCACTACTATGTAACAAGCTTTTTTGGAGTATTGATAATTTGATATCTATTTTCCTTTCTTTCTCAAGCAAGAAATAAAAAAAAATAGCAACCAATCCTTGTTATTTTTTATAAATTTAGAGCACTATGACAATTTAGAAATCGTCAGAATTGAATCAATCAAATTTGTAGAAGTTGATTGAGTGAAGCGGCTGAATTGATGGAGTATACCGAATTATTAAAAAATTATATTTAAATTATATATTGTTAATCATAAAAAATATAAAAAAAATACGAAGTATAACTAAGGTAGTCATCTATGTACAATAACTTCATTCAGAATCATGTTGTCATTCATTTTGCATGGATCATGTTGTCATTCACTTTTGTCTTTAGAATTTGAAACAAAATATTCAAAAATTGAGAAAACTTTCAGAAAGTCAAAGTTACTACTTTTGAATTATTATTATTTGTATTCCACATCTACTTAGAAGGTGTTTATTTTTTTTAATTTTTTATTCTTTTCCTTTATTTTTTCATTTTTCTAATTTTTTATTGTTTTACTTTAACGTTTTTTAATTTACCTACTTTTACATTTACACTATTTTTATATTATTACGGAGTATTAGATTATTTATTCAAATTTATATGACTTTTGTAAGATTTCTCAATATTTCTAATTTATGTTTAAGAAAATCATTTACTATAGCAAGTCAAATGGCTTTATTGACTGCATTCTAGAAGTAAATTAAACGGACTTATATGACGCTTTTTTAACTAGAAAAATTTAAGTTATTAATTGAAAATAGTAGGAGGGTGTATGTGACATTTTTTCCTTTTTCTTATATTAATATACCTTTCGTTTCATTTTTTTGTCCTCTTTCATGATAAAGGCATAGATTTTTAAGTTGACAAAAATGTTAACTTGTCAAGTACTAACAATTATATCAAATCAACATACAATAAACATTTTTCAATAAATATAAAAATTGGGCATTTTTTAGTCGCGCAAAGCGGGTGCAAAAAACTAGTACTACATATTTAGTATAAATTCAAAACACCCTCCATCCATTTTAGCAAACAACCTTCTCCATTTCTTTTTCCTTTTAAATATTTATCGCACATACTAACATTATGGAGCACGTGATTGTAGCAGGTGAGAGCTACACAACTACTGCGTACCGGAGTACTTTTTTTGTATGAATATTACTGCGGGAATATTACACACAATATTACTTTGTTTTAGTTATAACTATTTAATGCTCTAATCATCTCTTATATACCAAGTTTCTAGCAGGAACAGAACAACGCTTTTGGATTTTTTTAAACTTGTGATCCTTTGTCTATTTGACATGAACATATTTTTCCCTAAAGCAAAACAGCCATCAAAAAATTTCTGTTTTCCTTGCATCTTGCAAGTAGGGATGGATTCGGTTCGGGCCACCCGGCCCGTGACCCGGCCCGGCCCGGTACTGTGCGGGCCCGGGACCGGCCCGGTCGGGCGGTCCGGGACCGGGTCTGGGCCCGAACCGGGGGGAAGGGGCGGGGCGGGCTCGGTTCAGCATTTTTGTGACCCGGCCCGGCCGGGCCGGGTCGGGCCCGGGCCCGGGTCCGGTTCGATCAATTTTTTTAAAAAAAAAGTTTTTTTGGGTTGGGCTCCTACTAGCCGTTGGGGGTGGGGCTGGGGACAACCCAAACGGCTATATAGCCGTTGGGTGGGTTATAGGGGGGGTCCGGGGGGTTGGGTGGTGGGGGGTGGTGGGGGGGGTGGGGGGTAAAAAACCCTATAAATACTCCTAATCTTAAACATTTTTTCATATCTCTTCTTCAATTCTTCCTAAATCCTATTCTTAACTCTACTCTCTAATTCTCTTATTCTCCATTCTCCAATATATTATATTTATTATTTATAGTTTATATTAATTATCTACTTATATAAACTATAAATAGATATAAATAGTATTATATTACTTATATTTGTTATCTAATTATATATTACTTATAAATTTATTATATCTATTAATATAGTTGGAATTATATCTAATTAATTTGAAGTCATTCTATTACTCCCATCCGAAAGACCGAAAGTCCGAAAGAGGTACGAAATTATTCTATTATTTACACTTGTTTAATTACTAGTTAATTAGTATAGTTGGAATTACGATTTTTTATTAATATAGTTGGAATTACAATTTTTTATTAATTGCTACATTTGACTCTAGTTTATAAAATATGTTGTACACAAAACTAGTTAATTCACTACTTAATTTGCTATAACTCGAATTAATAGTTAGATAAATACTTAATTAGTTTTTTACAATTTTTTATTAATTGCTACATTTTTTAGATGGATCGTCCTAGATATTCGGTTGATATGGGTAACCTCGAGCGCAACCGAACGAACGAGCTTGCGAGGAAGAGATCCCGTAAAGGTAAATCACATCTCGGCTCTTCATCTCAAAGTCAAGATGATTTTGATACGGGTTACGTAAGGAGGGATGGGGATGCGATGACCGACGAACAACTAGAACAAGAATTGCACCGACATAATTCCCGCTTTTTTCAAGACCAACCGAGGACCATTGACGAAGAAGAGCTCGAGGACGAGGACGACGATGTGGAGGAAGCAATTCCGGAGAGCCACGACGACGAGGAGGAGGAGGGTGGCGGCAGCCATGACGCTGACCAAGCAGCCTCATCCCAAACAGGTACAAAAAAAAGTAAATCTGAATTAATGGCTAATAATTTTTCTAAGTGGAAGGACCCGAACACCGGGAATTGGACCGCAACTTGCAATTGGTGCAAGAAAAACTATAGCTTGGGGATTTCCGGCGGATACGGATCCGCCACAAGACACCTTAAGTCCAAACACCCGGTGGAGTATGCAAAATTAGGCGGCGGAACGGGGAAACAAACGCAAATATCGAGGTTTGCAAATAACCAACAAGCTTTTGGTAATTTCTCATACAATGATGCACAAAATTTGACAGGTATGGCTAACTTACTTGTTGAAGAAAATTTGCCTTATTTGTTTTCTGAAAGTCTTGCTTTTCGTGATTATGCACAAACTTGTTTAAATCCGCAATATAGAGGTTATAGTCGCAAAACGGTTAAGAAAGAAATTTCAAGGCTTTATGGTGCGGAAAATGTAAGGTTACAAAATTATTTTGCAAACTTTGATGGACGTGTTACTGTATGTTCTGACATATGGGAGGATACTTATCATCATTTACATTATTTGGGTCTGACTGTACATTATATTGATAATGATTGGCATATGCATAAACGTGTTCTTGCTTTCCGTGAATTTAATGATCGTCACACCGCTGAACATATTTATATTTTGATTGAACGTATTTTAATTGAGTATAATTTAATTGATAAGGTATTTGCTATTGGTTTTGATAATGCTACTAATAATACTGCTGCTATTCCTAGATTGCGTGAATTGTGTGGTTCTACTTCTTTGATGGGTAGATTTTTTCATCAACGATGTGCATGTCATGTTCTAAATTTATGTGTGCAAGATGGTCTAAAAGCGGTGGGAGCATCGTTGGAGGTAGTCAAGGGGGGGATTAGACGTATTTGGGGTAATGGACACCTTAGGAAAAAATGGCATGATTATTTGATAGAAAGAGGTGAGAGATATGTGGCTTTTCCAAAAGATTTGTCTATTCGTTGGAATAGTACCTATAAGTTAATTGGAGTTCTTCTTAGATATAAACAACATTTTCCTGCTTTTATGAAACAATATGATAACTATATTATAAACTCGGCTGAGATCGACACCTGTGAAAAAATTTGTAATGCTTTGATATATTTTAATAATGCAACTGAAACTTTTAGTCATGTTTATAAACCTACCTCAAACCAATTTATTCGTGAAGCTGTTAATCTCGCCGGTGCTTTTTCAAATTTTGAGAATGTTGATTATGTGAATTATTTTGCTGGTTTTATGAAGGAAAAGTTTTTAAAATATTATTCACATATTTTGCATATTTATGGTATTGCATTTGTTCTCGATCCTCGTTTTAGACTTGGTTCTTTAGAAGAATGTTTGAATTATTATTATGCTGCTTTTTTTGGTCCATTGCCAATGTATGAGGACAACCCAATTGATCTGAAAAAAGAATACAACGAGGTTAGTGATATATTTTATGCATTATTCAATGAGTTTCATGCACAATATGGCAATGCGCCCCCTCCCCCGACACAAACATCATCTAAAGGAAAATCAATTTTCAAATCTACGTTTGCCAATCTTATTAAAAAAACAAAATCAACTCCCGCTACACAACAAAGCACAATTAATGAGATTTCTTTGTATTTAACTTATGGTGTTGATTTTGAAGAAGATGATGATTTTGACGTACTAAACTGGTGGAAGGGAAAAGAAAGAATGTTCCCGGTTTTAGCAAAGATGGCTAAGCAAGTGCTATCAATGCCGGTTTCAACGGTTGCCGTGGAACAAGAATTTAGTTCGGCCGGCAATGTTCTAACACAAACCAGAACGAGGTTGAGCGCTGAATCTCTTGAGATGCTTATATGCTACCACGATTGGTTGAAAGCAGCACGTAGAGCTCAAGAAATTGACATCACTCCATCCCAACACTTTATGGATGAATCTACAGAGGGTGACTCTACTTATGCCGGAGATTCCGATTAAAAACAATTATAGTTCCTATTTAATTTTCAAATGTAGTTCCTATTTCATTTCAAATAAATGCACTTGAAGTTTGTTTTTTAATACTTGTATAAAACTATAAAGTATAAAATATAAATTTAAAAAAAAAATTACCCGGCCCGACCCGGCCCGACCCGACCCGGCCCGGCGGGTGGCCCGACCCGTGACCCGGGCGGGTGGCCAGGCCCGAACCGGACCCGTCCAACCCTCGGGCCGGTCCCGGGCCCACTATTCTAGAACCGGCGGCCCGACCAGGCCTAGGCCCGGGCCCGACCCGGCCCGAATCCACCCCTACTTGCAAGTAGACATGAGTTGAAATCTGAGATTTCCTGTGCAAGGTAGCATAAGAGCACAAAGAGCACAGCACTTCATTCAACACTGTAAACTCTCAGTGCTTCATAAGCTATGAAGAAACTCTCGCAAAGGAGTACGTTTGCATTTCACGGATTCTTTACAAACTCTCTAAAGTCTAAACACTTGTTTTTGTATTAAAAGATAATGTTTCCAGTTTCACGTTTACCCATGTTTCCCCCACATTTAACAAGCTTATGGATATATCATCTTCCATTGTATGTTCGTGTGTGTAACAATCATCATTATAACAATTCTCATTTTACTCACCTCCCTTCTTTCTACAATATGAACCAAACATGATGATAAAACTCGAATCTTTCTTCCGTTAGTTTAGTATATTACAACAAGGCTTTATATTCACTAAATACATCTTCATATTGATATGCCTTTGCAGATTACACAATGCAAGTTCACAAACATATTCATACATTACATTAATTGTCAGGAAAAAAAGAAAAAAGCTTGAAATCATGTCTTTTAAACATTACCAGTTATTCGGGATGAGTAGATGGAATTTTAAGCTGGAAAGATATCTGATCAAGCCTCCATAAGACGTTTTAGAGAGTCTTCATGCTCTATGCGAACACAATCAGTGATGTAAAATTGTAAAAAAATTGTTACATTGAAAGTTCTGCTTTGCGTGGTGGACTGGTGGCTCTCCTTGCACCACAGCCTGTAAGTAGTCCGCTTCATCTATCTACCATTACAAAGCTTAGTACGATGAAGAAACAAGCATACAAACTTTGAAATTACTCTCAATGCCCTTTTTTCCTCCTAGACAAACTCACAGTGATGCTCCCCAATCAAGGCGTGAGGTCAAAATGTGTGCCTAGCAGAGTCTGAACTTCCAGAAGGGAAGAAACCTTGTGATCTGGTTGGTACTCAACATTCACATATTCTGGAGCATCATACTTCCCTATTTCATCAAGTAAGCAGGTAAACGCTCCTGCTTGTTTCCCACACGCAACCTGCAAAAAAGAACATATCAAATCTACATAACCAGGAGGCTTCTTGTTGTTGGGTTTTAGTTGGTATTATCTGTAGAACCACAAATATTTGTCATTGAATCCACTCAAATATACTCCCTCCGTCCCATTAGAAGGTTCTCACTTTCCTTTTTGGACGTCCCATATAAAGGTTTGCATTTCCATTTTAGGAAACAATTAACAATCTTAAGTGACAAATTAATCATTAAATATTAAAAATAATACATTTATAATATCGCAGTTATCAATACTAACTACCTTATAATATATACCTATTAAAATTATATCTCAAAATGTACTTGAACTACTTTATTTAATTATTGTTTAAATAGCCGTGCCGTTTTGTTATGTGAACCTTCCAGCGGGAGGAGGTAGTAGTATTTTTTGTTTTCAGCCCCCCGCGATTTTTTGTGTGTTTCATCCATGTAATTTACACCATTTTGTTTTTAGTCCTTCAACAACTCTCTAGTTTATTAAAATTGTCTGTTTTTCTTTTTCACATCATTTTTTTTATAAATAAAATATTATTTACAGATGGCTAATTTTAAAAACGTGAATGATTAGTTTTACTAAGCATTAACTCCACTAATAGCCACAAGAAAGTTATATTTACTCCGTTATTAATTACTGCCAAAGGAGAATACAAATACTGTGGAATTATTTACTCAACCTTTGTTTCCAAGGTACTTGCTGTCTTGCTCAATGCTAAGCACACATATAATAATAGGCTCAGGAGGAGCATGAAAAGTAACATCTCTTCAAGGCATACAAATATCCCACAATGCAAAGAGAAAACAACTTACATCATCTTTAAGACTATCTCCTATCATCATCACTTCATTAGGGTGCACTTCCCAAGTGTCACAGATATGCAGCAATGGGGCTGGATCTGGTTTACAAGGACGAAATTCTCTACTAAGTGCAGGAGTAAATGTCATCTGTACAAAAACACAGATACTTAAAGTTAAAATGTTGTTTTTAAGTATCATGTAATGTTGACAAAGTTCGGAAATGAATAAAAACAGAAATAATACACAGAACATTTGGCATGTGCCACAGTCATGCAGGCTTAGACATACAAACTGAATAACAAATCTAAATCAAACATCAACTTCAAACTTTCAAGTTTCAAAGATATGCTTATATCCCTGTTCAAGTTCTTGTCTTTTACAGCACAATGAAATCTGCATCCCAAATAGCACCAAAAGTTTTAATACACATATACAAAAGGGTTTTGGGTCAAGAACGGAATTTCCATCAGAACCGATATATAAACTTGGGAAAAGTACAGAAAATGTATATGTAGTTTGAGCCATTTTAAGATAGGGGCATGTGTTTCATTTTCTAACAAAGTGTGGCATGTGTTTCAATTCCGTTATCATAGCAGGGGCATGGCGTCTAACGCTGTTAGAAAAACTAACTCCGATTTTAAAAAGTCTCCGAAAAATTAAAAGAAAGATATTGGGAGGTGCGCCTCATCAAGGAGATCAACAAACTATTATTCTCTTTGGATTTTTCAGCTCTATTTGGATTATCTTTTAAAAAAAAAATCGCTAATATCAACTTTCTGGTGGACTTTCTGGAGATATGGTGGTTGGAAACAAAAAAAATAAAGATAGTTTGTTGATCTCCTTGACGAGACGCATCTCCCAGTATTTTTCTTTTAATTTTTCGGAGACTTTTTAAAATTGGGGTTAATTTTTCTAACGTCGTTAGATGCCATGCCCCTGCTATGATAACGGAATTGAAACACATGCCCCACTTTGTTAGAAAATGAAACACATGCCTCTATCTGAAAATGGCCCAAATCACATGTACGTTTTCTATACTTTTCCCTATAAACTTTTCATCATTTGGATGAGTTAGATAGAAAGTTTACTCTTATGGCATAATAATTGGAGTCGAAACACAGAATTGATAGACAATTTTTTTCCATATATTCCCTGCACTACTAGTAATTCCTCTCTCTTCTAAACAGATTTTGAGTACAAATCCTCTTCTCTTTTCTTCGTCCTTAGAAGTAAGCCCTAACAGTCCCCTTCTGGGAGCAGATCAAGGAAAACAGCGCAAGAACAGAGCCTTATCAAATAAATAGAAAAGGAAAGAAATAGAAAATTAAAGGAACTATCTTATTTTTACTTCTGTTTTGCCTTCCATCTTTTCTACGGAGTATTACATAGGGCGAAACTGTATTTAGTCCAAAAGATGATGTTTTTTTCGTTTTTATTGCTTTGAATTGGGATTAAGGCCTGCTTGTTGTTGTTTACGAATTTGAATGCCATTCTAGAGAATTTAAACTGACCAATACTCATAAAGAATATAATATATTGGTTTGCAACTCACTGATGATGTTTGAGTGGATCACGCATCCTAATGTTATACACAAAAGTGGAAAAGGGTACAAAACCATATTTACATGTTGAGATTCAACAGCAAGCATGATATAACACTATTTCACATCATATAAAAGCTGATACATTAGGACATGGAATAAGCTTATTTGTTTCAAATGCCAAATTAGGAAATTTCAGAAATGGAAGGGGCATATAATTAAACTTTTGAAAAAACACGCATTGGACTGCATGCCCTGACATCTCATACTTGGAATATAAACCTCCTCGGCAGTAAAGACCAGATGACGCGGCCAATTTACGGATGATATTAATAATTTAGATAGCTAAGTTTTTCTTGGGAGTTGAAAGCAGGGTCAACAAAACATGGGAGTCATACTATATAGGTTATGATCATTTTTACAAGTCAATTAAAGTACTAGCTTCACAATGAAAGGGGGCGAACTTACCCCAAAGCGTTGATGAAACAAATCAACTGCTGCTTTGGCATTTCGAGTAATTAATCCCCTTCTGAAAAAACATATAATAATGTAAATTATACATTGCTCGGAGCCTCTGAAGCAGACCTATATAAATGCAGCTTTTCTTTTGCAAGTACATAATTTTAAATTTGAATGACATAGGACGGGCACTGGGCAGACGTTGACCATACAGTCATACACATTACACAGTATTATGTTCGTTGCATAATTATTTAGTCATTACTGGTATGCATTCCAATGATAAAGAATACATTAATAAATAAATCACTGAAATTCAACAATTTACTCGGCACTACTCTCACTATTTGTATGAGTGTATCACTGTACATATCAGATGCCATCAAGGTTTGTTCAAACTTCTCCAATCATTTATTCAGAATCATGTTATACAAATTTGTAATAAATGTTCTAAAACAGTTAAGATGTTAGCAAGTACCAACTTTCACACTTTCCCTCTTTCCAATTCCACAAGTAAGTCTCTTTGGGGCGCATCTTGTCATTTAAAATCATTCCTCACCAGAACTAATTGAACAACCCAAGCAGCTTACAGCCTTGCATCTTACAATAGTACTAAAAGAGAATTACAGATAACAGATGTAATAAGCAAATCGAACAAACCATGAAAATTTGATTGCTAAGTTATACTCCGTATGTTCATGAGAATCACAAATTAGAAATGAATCATTAAAACTACAATACAGTAACTAATGATCAGGTAGCTCAAGGTGAGAACTTCACCTGATATTCCTAGATTCCAGAAAACAGAAAAGCTCTACTGCACCTGCACAAAATATCCAAGCCTTTAAAAATGGGAGGGGAGCAGAAGGGTCCAAACAGCCACGGAAAGTAAATATACAGATTAGAACCTAAAAGATAAGAAGTCGGGTAAACGGGGCAAACCCGGCATGATTTGCAGACGATCGAGGCCTTGCTTCTCAAAATCGGCAATGATATCATACGCGCGCCTCTTTTTGTGGGGGCTCCAGCATTCAATGTGGTGCAAAATGTCGATGCCGGAGGGGTTCTTCGCCTTGATATCACGGTATCCTTCCTCGCCGAGAACGGCCATGTACATAGCCGGGAAGTCGATGACGGGAATAGTCAAGGTTCCATCCATGTCGAACACAACGCCTCGCAGACGAGCCGTCTTAGGAGCGGCGGAAGAGAGGGTGCCGGCGAATGTGGTGGAAGTAGCCATAGAAGAAAAAGTCCTTGTATGATTGAGCAAGATACATGAAGATTTGGGAAAAATCAACATGGATTAACGATTATAACTCTGTCAACCTACCTCAAGGACTTAGGGACTTGTGTATTTGAATATTTTGAATATGAAGAGATCACAAAAAAACTTAATAAAAATGATAATATTAAAACAACTACACAAATATATTTGGTGAAGGTGAGATTCTTTGAATTGTTGGCGGTGAGATTTCGGGCAAAATTGATCAATTTCTCGGAAAAGGACAATTTTATGGGATCAATTTTGGGATCAATTTCTCAAAATCTGTGCGTACTCACCCCATAGTGTGAATGACAACTACTTTTTATTGTTGCCAAAAACTATGAACACAACAAATGAAGTATTCAACAACTTTAGTAAACGTATAATGTTATTTCATAATTACTTCAAAATGATTGTTTTGATGCGGGCTTATACTCTAAATCTTCCCTAACGAATTCTGGTGCTCGCGCTAATCAATTAGATTGGAAAGAAAATTTGATATTGTTAGAGTGAAGCTTTCCAATTGTATCTGCAAAGACCAAAGAATAAGAAAGATTGAGTTTACCGATGTTAAAGCATTTCAAAAATGGATGTAATGTTATGACTTGTTACCAAATAAGTCATCTCTAGTCTCCTATGCATATTTAGAATCTAGGTGAAACATGTTAGAAAATACAAATCCTTTGGAATTATGTCTCTAATAAAATAACACACGCATTGATCTTTGTGCTCTACAATAAATACTTGAAAGAATGTGAAATAGTTGTAATCACCATTATTATTAGCACTAACTTCAAAACACTTCAGATGATGTTCCTCAATTTTGTCCTTGCATAAGCCAACTTTATTCATATATAAGTACAAAGTGTGTATAGTTTAATGATTATTTTGTCAAGGAAACGAAACATAAGATGAGATTGAAAAGTCAAATTGTTTTTTTTTTAGATTCTAAAATGGTGGGCTATTTTTGAGAATTGTGAGAATATACTCATCAAATTAATTATTTTGAAATTATTTTTTATTATTTTTTTTCAAATTAATTTTGTGAATGATAACTTGTAAATGATAAATTAGCAAAGAAGCCACACAAATTGTTCTAGGAACTATACCCAACCACACCTTTTCACCATATAATGCAATAACATGGTACATAGTACATCATACAAGGATATACATAAAAAACACTCTGAATGCTCATATTAGTGATATTGTTTTAATTTGTTAAGAAGGATTTCTGCATATTAGGTTTAATTTTACAGGAATAATCATGGCCTAGAAAAATTGATGAGTTGTTTGATTACATTATACTCGCCTAGCGTCCCTCTAATGTATTTAGAAATGATCACACCTACATATATACGGAGTAGTATCCTAGTAAGAGTCTTTTTCATACTGGATTTGGCATGCAGTTACTGCGTGTGTGGTGGGAGTAAAATTTAAAACTGGTAAAATAAAAATGGTTTTCAAGATAAACAAAAAATATTGCAATTTTTTCAGAATCGAGATTCTACAAACTAAGCAAATCAGTAACTTTCCATATTATGCTCCTATAAGATTTGATTCACAGTCTGCGGTGCTTCAAGAATCTACCAGACCCATGAAACTTATGATGGGATACCAAATGTGGAGCACGTACATGATTTCATGGAGCACACAAACACGTCCAAAACCATTGCGAAAACGGGACCTAAAATCGGCTGTCAGCTATAAATATCGCTTCACTTAATATTATAGAAGAGTCAGTATGTTGTTCAAAACATTATAGCCTTTGACTATCTATTAGCTTGGAATAGGAAAAAGGCTATGATATACTCCGTATTAGTCAACAACTATCAAAGGTGTAACTCTATTTTCATGTGAGTTAACTCTATGTTAGCTTCTAACCATTAATTAGAAACTAAAAATTGAATTTTTGAAGACATGTCTTGGCTTTTCAATAGTCTAGAAAAAATAAAACAGAGTGAACTTTTACTAATAAGTAGGTTTTTAATTTGAATAAAATAGACACTTTGTACTTATATATGAATAAAGTTGGCTTTTTAAGAGGCAGAAATACAAAACATAGTAAATTTTGCATTACAAACAGGCTTTTTATAGTAATAAAATATACCATGTGATAATATTATAAGATGAAGAAAAGGATTAATCAATTCAGAGCCATTGTGTCATATATAGCCGAAGAAGATAATTATGAAATGAAAATATTATGACTTGTTACCAAATATTTCTATTATGCATCGGTTGTGCTGTAAGAGCAGATTGTATTCTCATAAGGGAATAAAATCACACAAATCTACTTTCATTCATAAGTTCTCATTTTCATGTAATATCAAATTAAAGCCATAAATTCCAAATAGGAATATGTAAAAATTCTTATTAATAGTCATAAGGAAGCATCAAAGGCTCTTACAGTAAAGAGTTAGTAATGCAACTTCCTAAAAATGGTTGAAGTTTATTATAAAAAATTTATGAATTACTATTTTGTGTGGCCTTATGTAAAATTTTACAAGGGCATAGTTGCTGCAGTTTTCTTTTGAGTAGTAGAAGACAAATCTTCTAATGAAGATGTGATTAAACAATCAATATAGAATAAGCGTGAACGTCTTGGGCACCTAAGGAAGAAAAATATTGTTGTTCCACATTAATTTTGAGTATTGTTGTTCCACATTCATTTTGAGTATGCTTTACTCTCTTGCATACTCTGCATAAATCAAATCAGTGAGCCATTGAATCATAGCCCATGAAGATAGCAATGGGAAGGAAATTAAACTATAAAAGTTTAAAGGTTGAAAAAGGGTCAAATTCAGAAAATAGACATAACTAATGTCTCATAAGTGATATCAAATTCACAAAGCAAGGCCTACTCCACTTGCTCATATCTTACTATATACAAAAGAGAGTGGAAAGATGTACAGTATTACCGCCCAAAAATGCGGGTCAAAAACGGATCATCCGGTTCGAGCAGGCAGATGATGTGTACTGTTTGAACACGCTTTTAAACTGCATTTGTTGGAAGTGACTATGATTGGATGTTGGCGTGCTAAATCAACAGTCCATGCCATCCATTTCAAATGTTGTCGGGTAATAATTTCTTATTGGTTTCCAAACTCTACATTTGACCACCGATGATTACCACTTACCAATACCTTTAATGAAGTGTTGGTTACCGATGTCTTTAATGAGTTCTCATTTCACATGTGCAGTCTATAGGTTTCAATATTAGTTTTTCAATATTAGTTACATACGATTACCCAGCGGTTATTTTAATACGATTATCCAATGGTTATTTTAATAATGCTAGATCACAAATGTAGGTTAGTTCAACTCTAAGTCTATAAATACATGCTTATTTATCAATTCATCACTCCAACTCAGTTGGGCTTTCAGAGTGAGCAGTTTAATCGTATACAAGCGTTGAGGTTTCATCACATCTTATGTGAGAGAGAGTAGAGTTTGTCTTTCACAATGGAGAGGTATATATTTGAACAATCACCAGCATTTTCTTGAAGTACAATACGAATAGTATACATAATCTGCGACATGTTAAAAAACGTGGTTGGTAGGTCTCATTTTCATTGAGTCTTATTTCTCAAAAGTTATCATTTTATAACATTCTATGGGGAAGACTGAGGAGAAATTTATATCAATGAAAATTAAATTTGTGGCAACGAAGAAAATGAATACTTTTTTAAAAAGAGACATTCCCAGAAATTTTTTATTATATGATGTATATATATGCTTCATAAATTTGAGAACATTTCTATAGGCCCAAATAGAATAAACCCGGTAAGTCACTTTATACTACGTATATACTAATGATAAAAATTGGGTCTTTAATAAGGTAGATGGCATATAAAGTATATGCAAATCTATGGTTAAAAAACAGGTTCTTTAATAAGGTATATACCATATAAAGTATACAGAAATGTGCTCAAACTTTTGTATTTGCCCCAGAAGTAGGAAGCTTAAAAGTAAAATAAGGTACACACGTAAATATATGAAGTATATATAAGTACATTTTTTACATAAAATATTATTTGAAAAAGAGTTTTATTAAAATTGAATATTCACTTTATGAAATTCAAAGCATTATTTCGTCATTATTGAATATGGTATTAAAAGTCCAACATATTATACAGGGGACAGAATCTATGCCGTTATATACTCCGTTAAGGGCAACAGGTCGGGTTATGCAAGTCCAAAATCAAGGAACAAGGTCAAGACAACTACCACAAATATGAAACTATAACGCATGCCTACATTTTGGAGTACATGAGTAGAACAAAGTGAAAGAAATTGCAGACAACTTCCTAAACATAAGGGTGCTTCATATAATATGCGGTGTATACTTAGTCTTCATAAGTGTATAGATCAAAACTCACGATCAACAAAAATGTGTAATACATAATAGCAAAAGTGCATATGCAATATGTAATGGTGCACATTCACCTTCTAAAAGAATATCACGAACGATTTTTATACTTGTTATGTTTTCCCCGAAAAGTAATGCACTTTATTGTTAGTCTAATGCACTTTTCCTCCGTAGTGATGCGCATTTGTCACGTTAGTTTTCAAAAAAGTTTTTAATAAATACATTTTTGGCACCTAATTTTTCCCTTAAAAATTGATCTGATCCACTCGTTTTCTCATTTTAACGGCTAAAATTACTTCTCATTTTTCATATTAGTACTTTGTATTTGAACCTCCACACACACACACACACACACACACACACACACACACACACACACATATATATATATATATATATATATATATATATATATATGTAGGGTCGGGTTCTAATGAGAAGACATCTTAACGTGAGAAGTGAGAAGTTACACATTTACTTATTTCTGATGCACTTTTTGCAATGGTAGAAAAGTTCCGATTAATTACGGAAATGTCACCGCGTCTAGCATCACTTTTTAAATATATTTTACACTTTCTCGTGCACTTTTTTGCTAATCTGATGCACAGATCTTAAAATGAACGCACCAGATGCATTCTCACTTCTTACGATAAGTCATCTTCTCATTTGATCCTTATTCTCTCTCTCTATATATATATATATATATATATATTTATATATATATATATATATTAGATTAGGGA